TTATTTTGTTCAAATACAAGATTATATCATAAAAATCAGCTAACTTGAAAATGATAAAGGATCAAGTTGTCATCAAATCAAACTAGTTAAGCAAATAAACAAAAAAATCATACTTCAGAAGCATGGTTCTACAAAACACTACCAGATACACGCAATGCAGGGGATGGGTGGATTTTTTTTTTCATTTTTTATTCCGGTGGGCCCCACACATGTGAATGGGTGTAAAACATCTGTAAAACAAATTTCTATACATACGATTTTTCCCTAAACAAAATTTGATATACACCAACCAATCTTGAGGTCCTTTTAACGAGTTCTAAATATAAAATCAGTCAAGATTTCAAGAGTAATGTTATTCATCCCCGGTGAGGTTACAAACACGGTTTAGGTGGTTCTAAATGATAGGTTAAATGAAACACCTATCATTTACTGCCACATTAACGCCATCTAGACTGTGTTTGTAACTCCAGTGGGGATGAATAACATTACTCAAATTTCAAACTAGTAATCGATTTAATAAATACACATAAACGCTACGTGTCTTTCAATTTTCTTGAGCATCTTTTCAGCAAATTCCAACTTGTGTAAGCCTAATCCAATCACAGTACTCATACAAACATGCTATATTACATCCTTTGCTTCAATAACTTTACTTTGAACTGTCTACCAAAGTCCAATCAATAATGCTATGCTGCTAGGAAAGTTTTGACATCCTCCATAACAGCACACTCACGATAAGTGAGCATTTTTGACATTTTTTTATTCACGCGGGTCCCACGCGCGTGTGAATGTAGGTCGACTAAGTCTAAGTGTCAAACATTTTCTGACAACAGAGCTTTATTCAAGTACAATTGTCTTTCCCTATCATTTCATCAGTGATATATTTGATTATTTCCCTTTGAAGAATTACCTGCCTAGAAACATATAGAAGTAAAATTTCGAGGTGATTTCTGCGGAGAATGGTAAGAAAGAACGATGAAAATATTGTAACAGAAAATGTACAATCTGATCTATGGTAACCACAAATCGACCAAGTTAACTCCTTGCATTACTCTCTGAAACATTTATTATGTCTTTTCTAAATTTTCTAACCTGTTTTCCCTAATAAGGTAGAAACTGATAACCAAAATAGGGACAGATGAAATTAAAATGATTTCAACTCCCCTTGAACAAGATCATTGTATCGTTCCTCAGACAGCCCGGCTCCAGTTTCCAACTATATACCATTGAAGGATACTAGGAATCACGATAACAGACAGAGATCCGCTTCTGGATCAGTGTTCTGCAAGAAGGACAATCGTTCATCCCTTGCTTTTCATGCAGGATGTTGCATTGGGTGCAAAGAACCTGATGCGCACAAGGGAGAAAAACCACTGAAATTTCCTCTGTCATACACATAACACACTCTCTTTCGGGTTTGACACTTGCAGCCCCAAAATTATCCTGAAAGGTCGACAATCTCGTATACTGACCTCCATGAAAAGTAGAGCCATAACCCAGATCAATGCCTCTTTTCATTACGGCTATTTTTGAAGCTTCAGACTCAAATCTCAATTCAGAGATTATATTCTCGAGCTTCTTGATGTCGTCTTTACACTTTTGGACATCAAGCTCTGCCACTTGTTTCAAGTCATCCTCCTCTGCCTTTGCTAAGGCATCCTCATCTTCTCTTTTACTCTTAAAGAAATCAATTCGAGATACAGCTCTGCCTTTCTCTTTTTCTTCTTGCCTCCAAAGGATCTGAAATTTATTGTGAATAAGTTTAAGCTTTAATACAAGGCAATCAAATTAAATGACAGCTGTCGAAGGCAATCTCTTTCATGCAAACTGCTAATAGAACCCATACTTAACTTTCCAATTCTGAGATTTCACATGCGCAAATGAATTTGACTAGAAACAGAAGCAACCTCATTGCCAATATATGTCGCGGCATTCCTATGTCTTAATCACTGTGTGTGTGCACGCGCGTGTACGTGTGATGGATGCCTGTCATTTTATATGCTTCTATTTTGTGTAAATGCAACATCTGACGGGACAGACTGGTAGACAATGGAACTCTTTCAGACAACTAATAGCTGAACCATTATGCGTTTATGCACAAACAATCCATTAAATATGCAGAAGGTATATAAATAGGTACTGTTATTCCTAGGAAGAGTATACCTTGAACTGGTCCTTTCGTTCTTTAGTCTTTTCTAGTTGATTCTGCAGCTCAGCAGCGTGGCGTTTTAGGTTCGTCAGTTGCTCGAGAAACAATCCCTTCTGCACGTCCCAGGATTGGGACTTCTTCAGAGCCTCTTGCTCTCTCAACATAGCTTCCTGCAAATTAGTGGCAGATCCTAGAGCCTGCAGTTTTGCAGCCTCCATTTCTTTCCTCAATGCAGTATTCTCCTCTTCAAGCCTGCGAACAGTGGAGTGAGCCACCTCAATCTGGCCAGTGGCATTAGACAATGCATACTCCATTTCTGAAAGCCTCTTCATGGTATTCTCCTCCAAAGATTGCTTCTCCTTCTTAAATTTTTCCATCTCTTCTTTGTCCTTCCTCAAAGTTTTCAACTCGACCTGATCCTTCCCCAGCCTCCGAGCAGCCTGCATAACCTTCTCATTTGCCCAATCTGTCCAGCCTCGGAGCTCCTTCTCAAGTACTTGCTTATGGGGCACTAGTATCAGTAAGGTTTCATCTTTGTCATCTTGAGGGACATGACTCTGGAGTGATTCATCGTATGGGATTGCTGCATAGTAATCAGTAGTAGCCCTGGAAGGACCAGAAACGTCAACTTCAGCGTCAGAAGGAAATGTGGATTCAGGGACTGACGATGCAGGAGATTTAGAGTCCTTTGCAGGTAATGCATCAGTATCTTTATTAGGCGTGATCCTTGTATCTTTAACAGGCGAGATGCTTGAAGGTACACTTAAAACTGAATTGCTTGAAGGGTGATGACTCTTCATTACAACACCAGAAGAATCAGATTGTGATTTCAAAGTCTTGTCCAATACCATATTGCCCCAGGCAGCAACCTTTGCTTTGAAAGCTCCCTTAGACACACGACCCTTGTAACTTTTCTCAAAGTGAAATGCTTTCTGTCGAAGCATGTCTCTCTTGGAATTACCTGACGGTCCTTTTCGACCACCCCCTGATTTTTCATCCAAAACTGTTGCTTGGGATGAAGTCTGAATATGCTCCCTAGTGATGCCTGAAAACTTTACCTTTGCATCTTGATGACAAGACGAACTTCCTTTCTTAAGGTTAGCCACTTCACTAGGCCGGGAAGTTTTGGAGTTTGGTAACCGAGAAACAGCTCCCGCAATAAGGTTTCTGGGTTGAGAACTTTGGATTGATTGTTTCGGGTTATGTGGTTTGTTAGTATTTGAATGGCTGGGGTCCGACACCTTGGGTTTAGATTCAAAAAACGTATTTTCAGAGTTTACTCCAGGACCTTTAGGCCCACAAATTCCACCAATCCAACCTGAAGAATCTCGCTCCACTGCGCACGCATTTAAGAGGTTTAAATCAGATAGTAAAAGACACCACATTGCTTCAACAATAGTCAAAGATGGCTTAACCTCCCGAAGAACATGTATCATTTCCAGCAACGTGTACTCTGCCAAACTTGGTAAATCCTGAAATACAGGAAGCCTAGGAATATTGAACTCCTTTTCCCTCTTCAATAAAGCCAAAGCACCATCCACAACATTTGACACTGCATCTTTACGACCATGATATATGCCGCAATTTAAAACGACCCACTCAGCAGTTTCCTCATTGTATCCACATTCAACAATCTTCTTCACTGCACTGCGGAAAGTCGCAAGTAAATTATTAGTTAAAAGTTTCTCCAGCTGACATGTATTGGGATCGTCCCAATCGGAGGATTGGTATTCTTCCACTTCCGCTTCCTCAACAATCTTTTCTGACCTTGACACGAGCGACCCCAACTCACTCAAAGCATTCCGAAATTTTTCCTCCAACATCTCATATCTTGGGAATTCTGTCAGAGAAAGGGTCGATACATCAATTGGAATGTCTATTGCCAAATCAGATAAGAATTTCCTCTTGTTCCTACTTCCTTTCTCGGTGGCCATAGCATCTGATGAAACTTCAACATTCCCATGAACATTACCACTGTCGTCCATTCTATAAGTTTACGGCACACAAATTCTGTGATACTCGAACCACTCAAAAAAACTATAATTGTCAATGCTGGAGTTGTAGACCACTGGAATTGTCACAGAGAGAATATTGAAATTCAAAAAGGGCACAAAGGAAACAACAGAAGATACTAGAAATAGAGAGAATCATCACAACAGAAGATATGAGCAAAAACTGATAATGTCTATAATTCTCTAACAATGAATGATGAAGATTATAACAATAGACAAATAGAGAGAATCATCACAACCATGGCAGTCAGAACAAAATTTCACAAATCACACAAATCCAAAATTGAATCCCACTGCTCACAGCAATCAAGAAAGCAAACTTGGCAATCAAACAAGTTATGACAATCATAACAATGAAGATCCCACAACTCAGGGCAATCAAAAAAGCAAATCTTGGCAATCAAGACTATAAACTCATAGCAACTGGAAAAGCAAACTTGCCAATCCCACAAGTTATAGTAACAAGGAGAGTACATTTTCAGAAATCATGACAACATATTCTAGTTAAAAAAGTGCTTTTCCAATTCTAAAATGAATTCAATTTCTTGTGTATAAATATCCATAGTCTAACACTTCATTAAGCATCAAAGGATGAATTAACTTTTTATTCACAGCTTTCTCGGTGTTTCTCATCTCTTATACTCAATTTCGTCAAAAATAACAGTAAAAGAGAATAGCCCCTGTTTGGTACACATTAAATTTTCATTCTCATTCTTCTACTCATTTTCAACTACACATTTTTCAATAAAATAATATTTTCCATCGCATCAATAACTTTTCCTCCTTTTATAACCACAAATTCTCCATCAATCTACTATTCCAGAATACATTCTTCCAAAATAATGTGAATCAAACACACCATAAATTATTTTTTCTCGATATAATTTGACAAGCCCACACAGCTAAACAGGCAAAAAATAATACAGAAAATCCAACAGGAAAAAAAAATACCATCATAAAATCCCAAGAAAAAACCAATTAAACACCATGCCAAAGCACAAAGACCCAACAAAAAAGAAATAAATAAACAATAGTCACGAAGAAAGTAGAATCCCAAGAGAAGGAATGCAAATAGCAAAAATTAATAATTCAGAAACACGCCAAGAAATGGCGAGAGTTGAATCAATCAATGAAAAGGGTACTCACAAAGCGTTATGAATTGAAAAGGGGGAGTCACCAGTCGCTGTCTGCGTCGAAAAAACACACACTATTTTCTTACGCGAGTTCTCTCTCGCTCACTGTGTTAGTGTGGTACGGAATTTCTTATATATTTGTGGTTTTCCCTAACCAAACGTGTGGTTAACCCTTATTTTCCACCAGTTTTTGGCTCTTTGTGGGTTTAACTTTACCCCAAGATTAAGGTAAGAAATGAAAAGATATTCTCTGCTAATTTGATTTTCTAAACCTAATTGGTAGATTGCATTATGTGCCCTAATTAATACTTAATCACATTAAGACAGATTTTCCTGGCATTTATTAATAGTATAAGATGCCAAAATGCTGAGAAAATCTTGATGCTTATTGATAGTCATTGAATGGAGTTTGTAGCGATTGTCTTTTCGTTGGAAAAACAATGGGTCGAGTCAAATCTTTCGATTGCTATACATAATATGATACCCCCATAATATGCACATCATTGATATGGTACGTTGCCCTCCAAGGAACTTAAGTGTTTAGAACCTTGTCCATGTAGGAACTCTAACGTAAGGATGCGTCAATAGTTTAAAGAGAGAGGAAATATTCACCATTCGAGTTATTTGTTTCTACCAAGAAAAGAACGTTAATTCTTCTCTAAGAAGGTTTGTACATTCCTTTCTTTGTTCCTGGAGTTCCATTTTATAGATGTTTCAGTAACAATTTGAATGTTGGGGGTGTGAGCCAGTGTCGCAACTCCCTTTGATGACGTCTTAGAAATATGGGAGATGGCACCCTTATTTAGCACGATAATAAGGATGTGGATTAATAGCCCCACACTCAATCGCGCTGATGACCTACCTAAATTTCGTCGAGTTGAGATAGATTGATCTGACTCCTCTATAAGTCACCTTTGGATGTTCTACTTGTGGTGCTATTGATCTACTGTTCTTCGAGCGAATTGTTTATCTTGAGCGATCACCCCACAATCATCTCGCTTTCATGCTATAATTTCAATGGGTGCTGATACAAACCCATATTACTAACAAATATTATTAAAGTTGAAATTCACTCACGAAAAGTGATAATAGAAGTAGATTCATGTCATATATAGAAAATATTGAAACCGTAATTTCTATCCATAATTAATATAAAGTGATTCAAGTCATCTTTTTATTTCAGACTGAAGAAATTTAGTAATTAGATGCAATTATTCATCATATCGAAATATCCGTAAAGTAATAATTACAATAGTGAAAATAGAAATAGATTACGTTGCATGAGGAAAATAATAAATTTGTAATTTATTAGAAAATAATTACCATCTAAGAAAATGTGAAATTATCTACCTAATTAACAATGAATGAACTTTCACTTTTTAGTAATAACCGTGACCAATAAATGTAAACAATCAACTCGTTGTTGATAGTTCCAAGTCTGATTTCTGGTGATGCATCACCCAACACAAGCACAAAAGGAGGATGGGAAAAGTTACGGGTCCAAAAACTACAAACCTTCTTCTGAAATCTCGTCATTTCGTCGTTGCTCATTCCGATCAGATCGAAATATTTGGCATTTCCTTCTCTGCTCCCCCTCGTCCAATGTTCACACCATGGTAAATGGTTAATTCAAACATAAAGCACGAATATTGCTCGTCCATTCACCTTAATATAACCCGTGACCACATAGAGGCACGATGCACCACCAATCACCCTAATAGAATCCATCATCCAAACTAAGCACAAATATTGCACGTTGAATGATCTTATTTGCCTTCCATATAATTTTATCACAAAACTCTTCTTATAAATATTCAAGTCTCAGCCATCACTGATTTACCAAATTCTATGCATGTGCTTGAACACGTGAAAGCACGTTTCATGAACAAGTAGAAAGAAGATTAGTTTGTCGTTGAAACTTTAAAATAAGTTGATACGACCCTTACAAGTAAAAAAGAAGATACGTAATGTTCAGAAAAATATTTCGGATTTAAATTACTGCAAGTGTACGGTTCGTTGACAAGTAATAAAGTGAAAATTCAAGAATTTCAAGTATCGTTCTCGCGAATATTAATTTCTATTATCGCGACCTTAATCGAATCTATTAAATTCAATATGATTATTTTTGTGATTTTATTATGGAACTATGACTAATATGTAAATTAAGCTAAAATTACGAACTAAATACAAATGTAATGATTGAATGCAAAAGTTGAAGAAATTAATGTATGAAAAAGCGTACTAGGATCCCGAATCACCAAGCAAAGTTCACTCTTAACCCCTATTTCACAATTTGACAACACGATGAATCGTTTGAAGAATCAATGTTTCTAACATATCCAACAATTGAAAAAGCATACTAGGATCCTGACTCACCAAGAAATGTTCACTCTTAACCCCTATCTCACAATTTTACAACACGATGAATCTTTTTGAAAAATCAATGTTTCTAACTTATCCAATAATCTCTTTCGAATAGAATTGAACTTATTCTCGCATACCATTTGACTATATTTCTATGACAAATGCAATATACAAAAATACATGATATTTTGTAAACACGTAGAAATTCACGTAAAGTATAGTGGTATATTTCTATCCCTATGAACCCTACGATGATTTATACCTTATTGAGTTTATTTTCCTACTTTCGAATACATAAAATAAACTACCAAAACACACACAATTATCGTGCACTATAATCGTGGAGACAAGAATGTGTATATAAATCATTCAACATCCATTAAACGCGTTTAAATATCAAATTGCAAAATAGAAATTAAAAGTTCATTGTGCGAGGTTCATCGTTCCTCTAGTACATAAGAAGTCCTACCTAACATGGATAAAATAAAAGAACAATAAAAATTAAAAGAAGACATCACCTAAAACTAAGACTTAGGCTTAGAATCTTGAAGCTTGTCATGAAAAACCCTCTTCAATGGTGTGTTTCCTTCTCCAAGAATGCCTAGTTTTCTCCCAAAATTGTCTAAACCTAATTCTCGACGTCATTCGAGTTATAAAGGAGCCCAAAATTTTGTTTTCAAAAGAGTTCGAATCAAATTAAGAAACCCAGATTTTTTTGCTGAATTTTCCTTCTATGCGACCGCATAGAAGAATTCCATGCGGTAGCGTAGAACATTTCTTTGTACGCTAAAATTCCCTTGTTCCAATGCATAAGTTATGTGCTCAATTTCATCTTGTAAAATACACCCTTATCAACTTCCCCAAACTTGAATCGGTTTGTTTGTCCTCAAACTTCATCATACTTAATTCTTCGTAAAGTATAGCGGTATATTTTTAACCCTATGAATCTTACGATGATTTATACCTTGTTGAGTTTATTTCCCTTCTTTCGAATGTATAAAACAAACCACCAAAACTCACACAATTATCGTGCACTATAATCATGAAGACAAGAAAGTGTATATAAATCATTCAACATCCATCAAACGTGTTTAAATATCAAATTGCAAAATAGAAATTAAAAGTTCACAATGCGAGGTTCATCGTTCACCTAATACAATAAAAAGTCTAGCTTAACATGGATAAAATAAAAGAACAATAAAAATTAAGAGAAGACATCACCAAAAAAACTAAAAATTATAGTTAAAATCTTGAAGCTTGAAGTGAAAACCCTAGTTCTAGCCCTCTTCCTTGCTCTTCAATTGTGTTTTTCCTTCTCTAAGAATGCCTAGTTCTCTCAAAAATTGTGTAACCCTAATTCTAGACGTCATTCACTTCCTTTGCGCGCTGGAATTCCCTACTTGGTTGCATGCGGTCACATGCATAGAACACTATGCGATCTCATGGTGTTCACTTCTTCCAGATGTTGGCATTTTAGTCCTTCAACTCCATTTTCTTTATTTCTCGACCTTTTTCCCAATTTCCTTGTTCCAATGCATAAGTTATGTGCTCAATTTGCTTCATGTCTTCAATTTCTTCTCCGATTCATCTTTTGAATATTTGCAACTTAGTCCTCAAACTTTTCTATTCTTCATTTTGGTCCTTTTTCTCCATATTTCTTTCACTTTCCACCACATTCATCACGATAGTCCTACAAACACAATTTATATCGAATTAAATCATATTCAAGTATTTACGCCAACAATTAGTCATGTAATGTAGCTAAATACACGTTAGAAAACGCACTTATCACGTAACTGCGAAAAGTCGTATCAATATACTACAATCAGCATGTGCCACCATGGCAGCAACATTAGTGATTAATAAACTTCTGTAGAATTAATCCTTTCCTGGGATTTTCAAAGTTATAGCAACAAAAGTTTCATATAGAACCTTATTACATAGGAAATCAAAACCAATCTCTCCAATTCTGGTACTTGACATAGGATCAAAAACAAGAATCAGAACAGGATTAAAAAAAAAAAAAAAAAATTAGTCTTTTTTGGGATCAAAGCCGAAGTCTCTGCCCATGGCTTCCTTCCTAGTTTTTATGAATGATTCAGCCTTTGCATTTATGTTTGAGTCCGCACTCAGAAGAGGCTGTGGCCTCCTCAGAGGCTTCGGTTTTGTGTCTTCATTGGGCTTATTCAACTTTGTTCCTTCAGCTAAAAGATTGGTACTCTCTTTGTTCCTAGAATCATTTTTCTGCTCGTAGGCCACTGGATTACGCTCCTGGCTCCGTCCCTGATGCTGGAGGCCATTATCTCCAGCTTTCACATCAGATTTCTCTGAGGCTGGAAAGCTTGATGCAACTTTCTTTGGAACGTGAATGGAAGAACCAAAATCATCAACTGGGGTCTTCCAATTTTCTAATGCACCAATATGTCCGAACTGAACTACAATCTCAGAAGCACCAGAAGATCCAATAGCCCTTGATGGCCTAATGGAACTTTTTCCATTATTTCTCGATGAACCTTCTTCTATAGGAACTTCAACAGATCGACAAGGTGTGGGATGACTCAAAATACCGAAAATCAAGTTCATGAACCTTTGACAAATGCTGATAGGCTGAGACTTCTCACCCCTTTTCCGCATTTTTTGCCGGAATGAATTTGATAGGCAGGGCAATATTCAAGCCTTTCAGTGTGTTTATCAACAAAAATGATTAGCTTGTCAGCATGATTCTATTCTATTCTTTGGAGTGGAGGTAACAAAAAGCAGGATGTGACCTTTCGCTTGTATCATAGCTTTCTTTTTCAAACCAAAGCTTGCCCTTATTTCATTGGTTTTTCCTTTATCTGGTCAAAAGTATAAACAGCTAGCAAGAATAAATATCCACATCCCCCTGATACCAACAATAAATATGCCTTTCTTGAAGCATGCTTCATTCCCAAATAGTAACTACCAATTAAATCTTGCTTAATTGTTAAAGACGAGGTATGGATCACATTACTTTTTTCGACGAAGACCTGGCAATAGACTTTTCACGAATAGGCAGTGGTCGTGCTTTATTCTACGCTATCATGTTGAATTGCCTCGTGTAGCAATACTCATCCTTGATAGCGGATCGTAAGGAAAGGATGTCCATTTTGTTATAAACCCACAAACCTATCTTTAGCTTAGCGATGTTGGGGAAGAATTATCACATTCCATTCTTCCACCCCTCCTTTCAAACCCGAATTCCACGGTGTCTCGTATTTCCATCTGAGTCGTGGAACAAGTCTTCACTAGAAGTACACGTCCCCAGGGCGCTCTATCCACAACAAAGTCATCCCAGAAAGGTGCCATCTGTAACAACCATATCAGCTAGATTTCACCCTTATAGCTGGCTTGTACGAGGATGGTGCCCAACTGGTTATAAACCCACAAACCAAATTACCTTAGCGATGTGGAGTACAAATGGAATCATCACTTCTGATCTAGAAGTTCAGTCTGAGGGCAATTCACAACTTCAACGTTGTGTTGGATTATATCAGTTGGATACAGCTGATAAATTCAAAGCACTCTTGTTGGAGTGAATGATTCTCTATTTTATAGATTTGACAGTAGAAAGTAGAAGATTTTATGGACGAAACAATCAAATCAACTGAAGCTAATTAATTGTGCTTGATAAACAGAAAATGGGAAAAAAGTAACAAATATATGGTAATGTAAAAAAGACTGCATCCACAAGAAACTCAATACACTACAAACTCAACTCTCTGTTACAACTAATCCACAATCCGTACGACTTTCAAGCTCTCAACTATTTCTGGAGCCTATTGGCATCTCAGGAAATGTATAACAGCCAACGCTAACAGATTAACTTACAGAGATCTCCCATCATGGTTGATGGCCGGATCAGAAGTCATCTGAGTTTTCTGAGTTTCAACAGGGGATGGTAGAGCAAGACATCGTCCTTTCTGAGCACGCGGTGGAAGATGTTTTGCAGGTTTCCTTGATCCAACGGTCCACGGCAAGAAAACCCCGGTCCCGCCTTGTGGAATCCTTTGAGGACTCAAAACCATTGGACGCATAGGCAACATAACCACAGGAGCTCGGAGGACGCCCCATTTGGGGATCGTATCCACTGCCTCGTAGGGGCTAATCGTTCCATTTGGGACTGCGTATGGAGTTTGAACACTGGATTGCCATAAGGTCATTGCTCCGCTTAAAGGGGTTGCCTGTGTCTCCACCCGGACTCTAAAGAATGTCACGGTCACCCTCTTGTTCGACGAGGAGCACATAACATGTCTTGCTGTATCAGAACTATTTCCTCTCATGACTAAAAGTGACCTGTCAAATTTTTTTTGAATCAAATTGACGACAGATATGTTTAGTACGCTGAATGGGACAGGATAATGGACACGTATCAAACATGGGCTATATGTATGAGTTGTGACATACCCTTCCTTGAGAGAAAGCGTGAGTGGCCCTTTATAATTCCCTTCACTATCACAGACAAGTGATCGACCGAATGCCATTGCTGACTCAGAGAGAAGGAGGGTCGAAACGGGTTGGTCCAAATGAGGTGGTTTCAGAAAAGGTTGAGAGTATTCCCCCTATACAACCAGAAAACTGATTCAATTACACTATTAAATTGCACTGTTAAGTGAAAAGAAGAAAGATTTATACCTCATCGAAGAAGTTAATGATGCAGCTATTTGGTTTTCGATTTTCTGGAATCAAACGCCACTGGATCAAGTGGTTAATGACACCTTGCAGAAGTGCTGGAATTGGCTCGATATAGCCTGTAAATACATACATTATTATTAAAAATCTTAAAGAGAAAAAAAAGTTGACCAAATATAGATCATATGTATCGAAATACGACTCTTCCATACTCTTCTGCAATTTACTTGTTGCATCGTCTTTTATCTGTCCGAAAATGGGAACTCCAAGCTGAATTAACTCTCTCTTCTTTCCTTTCACTTGCTGGTTGTATAGTATAAATGTCTCGCCTGATACAAGTATATAGTATTTAATCAACACTAAATGGAGTTATCGAAATATCACTTTCACCACATAAACTACTGCATATCAAGAATTAAATAAACGACCCGGCAAGTTAAATAGATGCATTGGAAGAAATCAGACAACCTTGAACTTTTCAACTTCTCATGTATTGGCAATTAAGTTACAGTGGAGGCCTAGCATAATCAACAGAAGGTAGCAATATTTAAACTTACTGTAAAAAAATGCTCAAACCTGCTTCAATCATTACTATAGAAGATGCCCTTTACAATCTCAAAACTTCTGGCCCAAAAGGAAACAACTAGTTTAACTATAAAAGCATCACGAATCACAGGATCCACCTGAGAGTTCACCATTCTGGCCAGCAACTCGGAGCTCATTCACAAAGTCATTCAATTTAGAGAGTTCGACATCAGTGAATATGTCTTCATACAACTTAAGACCTCTAACAACATTAACCTGCCAGTCGTAATATCAGTCGATGAGCACACTTGCAGCTATATTATAACATATTATGTCAACTGAAAGCATGTTTCACTAAGCTTAAAGGTTCCGTAAGCAATTGAAACTCACCATATGGCCTTTCACCGGTTCCTTTGCTAAGAACCCTTTTGTCAACTTGATCTGCTCACGACGCGCCTCACATCCTTCATGGTTAGAACATATATCGACATGTTCAAGCAACGGCTGCACTTCTTGAGATCCTAAATTGCAGAACAGAAGAGAAGGAATGGATTTTGTATCTTCACTATAATAAAAAAAAAACAGTCTAATATATATTTATATGTATATATATATGCATAAAAATGATAAAAGTACAGAGTACATTTTTGGAAGGTAAAAGGGGAGAATTTATAAACTGTTGACTAGAACTGAGCAAAAACTTTATGCCGCTTCGATACTACATACTAAACATATACTCACAATTTGTGACACAAGGTAGAGTTGCCAGCAGGGATTCTTCAATCTTTGAATCTCTCAGGTACTTTAATATTATTGAATTAATCTCAAGATTATAAATTATGAGGTCATAATTTGATCAGATAATTATTTTTCAATTATGAAGGTCAGCCAAAAGCTGTTACACTAAAGGACCATTTCTTTCCCTTGGGACAAACGACGGTTGTGCAAACACTGAACATCGGACTTTGGACTTGCCACCCAACCATCCTTAAATATTATCTCTTGTCTAAAGATAAATTAATCTCTCATATATTATACCATTCAATGTTATTTACCATTGTGAACCAAATAAAGACGTACGACTTTCATTTTAAAAAAATACACAGTAGGAAAGTACTAATTTGATGTACTGAATCCACTATCGTACCAAGACAAAAATAGGAAAGCACAACCTAAGCACCAAAAAAAAAAAGAAGCACTAGTGGTACACAAAAGTGGTATAAACTTTAAGGATAATATTTTGTTCCCTAGTGGTACAAAATATACCGTTATCAATTCTTTCAGTAGTTCGTAATTTGCCATAACAATGAAGCTCGCGATCCAATTTAATGAAACAACTTTTTGGTTAATTTTTCTTTTGACATTATTGAAACGAAGGGTTAGAAATAATGTTAATCACCCAACTTGTTGCATGGTTTTACTTTAGTCGTCAACCGGCCCACTCCCTACCACCATTGCTGTCGCGATCAAGAGAAAGTTTAGGGACCAAATTGAAACATCATTGCAAACAGAATTTATAACCCTTTCTTGGCAGTTGGCTCCTCCCCAACAAAAAAGTCACCAAACAACATGGCCAACAATCAAGGACGAGTTCACTCGGGTCAAACTCGTTGAAAACTCTAGAGTTACTAGAACAAACCGAATATTCCAAAAAAAGTTCAGAATTTTCAAGGTCCCATTCGGGCCTACCCGGTTAAAGAAATCCAACCAGACGCAGCCATGACGTCCCTTATAACGATTAAAGCCGCCTATTAACTAGTCAAACAAATTTTAATTTAATGATCTGAGTGATACCTCACGCTTCTCCAGGTGGACCTCCCCGATTCAGCTCATCTCTATCATAAAGTAATAATGGTATTTGCTTTTCCCGAAACTACCTGTGAATCGGGTGGGTGGGGCTCCGAATAAGACGATCACAGAGCAGGCCTTTAACACACTTCCCCATTTCGATTTTCTCAATCTTGGAAAGTATCAACATAATTTAGAATTTACTCAAACAATTTCTATTTTTGTAGATTATTATTTTCTTTTGCAAGTAGAAAACGAGAAAACCAAGAACAGAGGATGTATCGAAGAATTGAATCAAATTCAATAAAAGAAGAGCATTTCGATTTTATTTTTTTATTTTTCCAATTTACGGGGTTTGATCCATGATTCATGATTTGAACTTTAATTTTAACCGTAAAACAAATTCTATAAGACACGAAAGTTCAGAAAAATGGAAGAAATGGATTACAAAATGAAACCACAAAATTTTGATTCATAAGCAAAAACAGACTCTGTATCAAAATCGGTGGATTTTCGCAATTTTTTTTTTTTTTTGCAGAAATAGATGTTGATGAAGATTGGGATCAAGTTACTTACCTGTATTAGTAATCTCACTTTCAGGTGAATCATCCCTAGTAAAATCTTCATCCATGGGCTCTACTCCACCATTTTCATTACCCTCCTCGACCGAG